TATGGATAGAGAGTCTGAAAGCTTGAAAGGTACAAATCTTGTTTATTCTTTTATACTTTGGCTTTTATTTTTCAAAGAATCACAACATATGAGCTAAATCTCATTGAGAAGTTTTATATTGATTGTAAGTCTTTCAGGCGTGTAGCAGTAGAACATCAAGAGGATAAGAGAGGATAATAAGTTGTGTGGTGTCGAGCCATCGCAAGGGCAAGGCTTTGGTAGGAAGATAAGAAGTGGGGCATGCCACCCCTCAGTCGGCCACTCCAACATTCATCAAGCTATTCAAGAAGGGTGAGGCTAGCCACCTTGTTCCTAGTGGCCTAAGTTGGATCTCCTCAAGGAGACCTCCCAACGAGGCCGCCATTAGAGCACACTATAGAGCTATATCAAACCAGGTCAATCAACAATAAGGAAGAACATCACTGCGAGGGGAAAGTCCAGTGTCCGACTCAAGTGAATAGCCTTTTGTGTAATCTTTAAAAATTCACAAGGGACACTCATTCAAGTGGATCTCGATGCAAGACAAGGAACAAAAGGTGAGCATAAACTTGGATGGTAAGTTTGTACTGTGAGCCTCCAAATAGACTAGTATTGTAACTCATCTATAGTGGCTCGGTACCCCTCCATGATAGATGGCGTGATATAGTCTCTCATATTTGAATAGACTCTTTTGAAGCAAAGCTTTCCAACCAAGTTACTTGGAGCTATTTCAACTACTCAAGAGAGAAATTGAATCATGAAAGACGAATGTCAATAAAGAAGACTCTTGATGAGTTTTTTCAAAGCTCTCCTCCCATCAGGCTTAGGTGGCTCTTCTCACAGAGAAGTTCAAAGATAGCATCTCCTTTAGCATTGGCCATCTGATAAAGGCTTAACAAGTTTCCTTTGAATGGACTAATATGGGAAAGTTTTCCACACTGATATCCAACTCGAAGGAGGGGAACAAGAGGGGTGAGGCTAGCCACCTTGTTCCTAATGGCTTGAGTTGGATCTTCTCAAGGAGACCTCCCAACGGAGCCGTCATTGGAGCACGCTATAGAGCTAGATCAGACCAGGTCAATCAACTACAAGGAAGAACATCACTGCGATGGGAAATTTCAGTGACCAACTCAAGCGAATAACCTTTTGTGTCGTCTTTAAAAGTTCACCAGGGGCCATCATTCAAGTGGATCTCGATGCAAGATGAAGAACAAAAGGTGATTATAAACTTGGATGGTAAGTTTGAATTGGTAAGCCTCCAAACGGACTAGTATTCTATCTCATCTATAGTGGTCGATACCCCTCCATGACAGCTGGCGTGATATGGCCTCTCATAATCGAATAGGCTTTTCTGAAGCAGAGCTTTTCAGCCAAGTTAGTCAGAGCTATTTCAACTACTCAAGAGAGAAACTAAATCATGAAAGAATGAATGTCAGTAAATAAGACTCCTGATGAGTTTTTTCCAAGCCCCTCTCTCATGAGGCTCAGGTGGCTCTTCTCACAGAGGAGTTCAGAGATGGGGTCTCCATTAGCATTGGCCAAACTGATAAAGGCTCAACTAGTTTCCCTTGAATGGACTGATATGGGAAAATTTTCCACACTGATATCCGACTCAAAGGAGGGGGGACAAGAGTGATCAAGACGATAGTTGGTCGTCAAATTTATAACAACTCTCAATTTTTTTATACAATTTTACTTAGAAGAGATTTTTTTGTTTAACACTTGTAAGAAGAATGTTAGAATATTTGTTAAGTCACTTTTTGATGAGAAATGAAATTTTTTGGTCGATCAAGCCCTTGCATTTTCACTTCGCAAACTATGGCATCATTCTGGCTTGATTAAACCCAACTCTTTGGTGACCAATATGAACTTCATCATTTTCTATCGTCAGTCGAGAATCTAGTGGTCCATTGGCCTCTTCAACTATTTGTTCTCATTCTAGCTTGGCCTAGATGAGCTTGTCCAATTTTCTTCGGTCAGCAAATTCTGGCTCCTAAGGATGAAAAATAAAGTGAAGGACTAGAAGCTGGAAGGCGAAAGTGAAGAGGAAAGTGTCGACTAGGGTGTTGTTGGAGGAAAGCAAAATCAAGCAATAAAAGTTATGGGTCCACCAATACTTTGAGTTATCACTTATCAATAGAGTGTTCTAGCCAAAAGGCTTCAGTGAGCTGAACAATAAAGGTTGGAAGGTTATCGACACTCCTGAGGCAGAAAAGGAGGCAATGATGACTGCTCAGTAGGCTAAGAAGATGGCTCACTCTATTGTTTGTTCTAAAACTACTAAAGCTATGAATCAACTGATGTCTAAGGTGGTTATGGATAGAGAGTCTGAAAGCTTGAAAGGTGCGGATCTTGTTTATTCTTTTTATACTTTGACTTTTATTTTTCAAAGAATCACAACATATGAGCTAAATCTCATTGAGAAGTTCTCTCTTGATTGTAAGTCTTTCAGGCGTGTAGCAGTAGAACATCAAGAGGATAATAAGTTGTGTGGAGTTGAGCCATCGCAAGGGCAAGGCTTTGGTAGGAAAATAAGAAGTAGGGCATGCCAGCCCTCAGTCGGCCACTCCAACATTCATCAAGCTATTCAAGAAGGGTGAGGCTAGCCACCTTGTTCCTAGTGGGCTGAGTTGGATCTCCTCAAGGAGACCTCTCAACGAGGCCGCCATTAGAACACGTTATATAGCTATATCAGACCAGGTCAATCAGCTATAAGGAAGAACATCACTACGAGTGGAAAGTCCAGTGGCCGACTCAATTGAATAGCCTTTTGTGTCGTCTTTAAAAATTCACAAGGGACCCTCGTTCAAGTGGATCTCGATGCAAGACAAGGAACAAAAGGTGAGCATAAACTTGGATGGTAAGTTTGTACTGTGAGCCTCCAAATAGACTAGTATTATAACTCATCTATAGTGGCTCGATATGCCTCCATGATAGCTGGTGTGATATAGTCTCTCATATTTGAATAGGCTCTTTTGAAGCAGAACTTTCTAACGAAGTTACTTGGAGCTATTTCAACTACTCAAGAGAGAAATTGATTCAAGAGAAACTGAATCATGAAAGAACGAATGTCAATAAAGAAGACTCTTGATGAGTTTTTTCCAAGCTCTACTCCCATCAGGCTTAGGTGGCTCTTCTCATAGAGAAGTTCAGAGATGGTGACTCCTTTAGCATTGGCCATCTGATAAAGGCTTAACTAGTTTCAATTTAATGGACTGATATGGGGAAGTTTTCCGCACTGATATCCGACTCGAAGGATGGGGGACAAGAGTGATCAATACGGCAATAGGTCATCAAATTTATTACTGCTCACAATTTTCTTATGCAATTTTACTTAGTAGAGATTTTTTTGTTTAACACTTGTAAGAAGAATGTTAGAAAATTTGTAAGTTCCTTTTTGATGACAAATGAAATTTTTTGGTCAGTCAAGCCCTTGCCTTTTCACTTTACCTTTACTATATATTATTTTATATCTCCTTATTAAATAATGTGTGCTGTGATAAGCGTCTGAGTCTCAGGATTTATGGGCCGGTGAGCTAAGAATGCTTTTAGTCGGTCCGCCGAGCTATCGCTGCGCTCAAGTCTTACATTTCTCATGTCTTGATCGCTCAATTAGGTTTTCATCTTGAACATGACACACCTTACACTAACATATTAGGCTGATCTAATTGCAATCTTACATGAGCTGTGTGACATGTATGTAAAATTTTCCTTTATTTATTGAAACTCTTATTAAAACAATGAATTACCAAACCACACATCCCTTAAATCCTACAGGGAAAAAGCAAAAGGAGAACTTAAAAGTTCCACTTTTAGGGTGTGTTTATTTTGCACTTTTGCCTAATGCAGTTGAAAATCACGGGCGCATTGCGGCTTGTAATTTACGTCTGACACCACCACAGAGTCAGAAACGTCGCCAGTGATTCCTTAATTTGCCCCTGCATTGTTTTCTTCCTTTAGCAAACTCCTGCGCCACCATAAATAGATCATTGTAACATGACATTCTTTACACAAAAATTCTACTTTTATGGCATAATATAAAAGTATAAACTTTAGTTATAAACTCTCAACAATTACATTAATGCTGAAATAATTTGCCTTTATCATATATATAGAATGCATTGCATGGGATGACTGCCTTTGAACTATATAAACAGAATTTGGGGCACATAAGAATATAAAATTCGCTTAGCACTGCAACATTAGAGTTAAGCATTATCCCTTAATGCACGCTCATTTTATTCATGATGATTTGTTTTCTCTTTTATTATCCTTTATACTTCTTGAAAAGCTATGATGAAAAAAAATAATTTCTGATCACGGAAATTTCTAGAAAATAGCAAGAAAACAGTTCTCCAAATAGAACTATGATGACTGTTTGAAACAACAACATTGCTTGAAAGAAAATATAAACGGAAGCATACATAACACACAATTTTACATATTTACATAAACAACCCCTAAATTTTCATATTTGCATGCATATCACTCAAATCTTTAATATCACAAAAAAATTATCATTATTATTAAATTTAAAAAATAAAAAAAAACATAAAAATATTGTAAATGTTAATATCAAATTTTAAGTGTGAAATATGCAAACAAATATGAATTCTGTGATATGTATGTATGCACATTTCCTTTTAATAGACTAGGTTCATATAAAACTAATACAGCTAAAATAGGAGGATCATTTAGAGATGTAATATTTTTAGTAAGATTTACATAAATGCCACTAACAAAACTTCATATAACCTTACTTGCACATGAAAGTAAAAAATTTCAGTGTTACATATGTAAATAGATAGAAAATGAGTGGTATGTATGTAAGTACCTCTTCTTTTATCAGCTACATGTATAGGGATAATTTAAATAGGAACATAAAGGTCTTATTCCAAAAACCAATCATGTCTAACTAGAACAAAAAAATAGAAGATTAATGCAGTGCATATATTTTGCATTTCCAAGTAATCTAATAAATCATTTTGCAAGGAGTTAATTTTCCTTATAACAATCATCAGGAAATATACCTCGTGGGAGAAGCAGAGAAGAGAAACAAGAAGCAGGTTCCAAGAGAAAAATACCCAAAGCCATTGATCTTCCATGACGGCAGGCTTGCCATCAGACCAGATCCAATCAACTCCATAGCCATATTCATGTGGCTGCCATTTGGGATTCTGCTATCAGTTCTCAGACTTGCAATAGCAGCAGGTCTGTTATTTTATAGTACAATTCCTCTAGCAGCAACCGGCATTACGTGGAAGGTAAGAGGAGCCGCGCCATCTTCATCCCCTCGGCCCCAAAACTCAATCGGTCAGCTTTACATCTGCAACCACAAAACTCTCCTGGATCCCAACGTGATCTCCCTCGCTCTGAACAGAAAAGCCTCATCGGTATCATATGGCCTCAGCCAATTCTCTGCAATTATTCGGTCAACTTTACATCTGCAACCACAAAACTCTCCTAGATCCGAACGTCATCTCCCTCGCTCTGAACAGAAAAACCGCATCTGTATCATATGGCCTCAGCCAATTCTCTGCAATTATTTCACCCATCAAGATCAACTGGCTGACGAGAAATCTGGAAGAGGATAGGAAGAGAATGGAAGGAATTTTGAGCCGAGGAGAGGATTTGGTGGTGTGCGCGGAGGGAACTACTTGCAGAGAGCCGTATCTATTGAGGTTCAGCCCCCTGTTTACTGAGCTCACCGACATTGTTGTGCCTGTTGCCATCGATCTTCATGTCAGCATGTTCTATGCCACCACTGTCAGCGGGAACAAGTGGATGGATCCCTTTTATTTTCTCATGAATCCTCATGCTTGTTATGAATTGGAATTTCTGGAGAAGGTTGATACTAGCAGAGTTAGAGCAGGTGATTGTAGCAGGTTTGATATGGCTAATCATGTGCAGAGGCAGATTGGGAAGGCTTTGGGGTTTGAGTGTACTATGCTTAGAAGAAAAGATAAGTATATGATGCTTGCATGAGATATGTGAAGGCCAAGATAAACAATACAGAAACATTGAGTAGTAAAGCATGCTCTGATGGAATTCTTATCCATTGTATTCTTGTTTTGGAATGCTTATGTAAATATTTAATTGATGTCTAAATGATCTTTTGTTTATAATATTTCATATCCAAAATGCTAATTGTTAATGTAGAGACGGGATGAGTGAAAGTAAAAAGTGGAAATGGATGTCAATGAGGCGTTTGCAGCTTCTTAAAATCAAGAAAAAGGCCATCTAACAAGT